CTCAGCGTGCAGCAAACAGTGTGAACATGAACATGGTAGTGCTGCTTCCCCACCAGTCATAGCAAACCTTTTAGAGTTTTCAATGATAACAGCCATCTGCAACACATGTGCCGTGGTTTTGCCACCATGACTGTAGCCTCATGTTCAGGAGGGACAGGCCATAGTGGGCCTGCGTGCTGGCTCAGTGCACTGTGCACTGCCTTACAGCTGAAGGGCCCAGGGCCAAGGCTTAGCACCTTTCGTAGAAAGCACAAAGAAGCCAGTCTCCCTCCCTCTGGTCATCTCAGCCTACTTAGTTGCCTATATGAACAGCCGTAGATACTGCTTAGTTATTAATTCCGTTTCCCAGGTGTTCTTTCAAGATCTCATTACATCTCACAGTGATCTTTGATACCGGTTGTCAAGGTATGGTTAATACAAATCTGAAACTGGCTAATTGCCATGGGAATAGACTGTACTGAGATTTGTGTGTGTGTGTTGGGTACTGGGAGTCAAACTCAGGACCTCGTGCTTGCTGCAAGGTAGGTGTTGCACTGCTGAATTATATCCCTGTCAGAGAATTGTTTTATTAATTGAGTAGGGTACTGTTGTTGGTGGTCCCCCTTTTGTGTGGCAGGGGAGGGGAAAATGTGATTCTCAATTTATGTTATCAAACTATTCAAGAGTTTTTAATTAAAATAGTGATGCTTCCTTCCTTTTAGAATGAAAAGAGTTCATTTTATAAATGACAAAGCTATTGTTGAATACCCTGAAACCCTGCTCTAAGAGAATGCTCTAGATGTAGAGATGAAAAGTGTTCTTTTCTTGGACCATTTTTATACTAAAATCTTCATCTGCAAGTCCAAGTATTCTTTGTTGACATGAGGTTGCAAATTTAAACTATGTCTTTCAACAAGATTTTCAGCATGCAGGAAATTGAATATAATTGTGATTTTTTTTTTTAAACAAAAATTTTTATGTGTAAAAAGAGTTTTGAAGTTGCAGTATATGTGTTAGAATCTATTTTGTGCAGGTATACTGTCCATTCTTACTAATGCAATTAAACTGGTTTTTAAATGGCCCTTTTCAGCTTTTGCGTCAGGCTGTCACTTCTTATTCCTGTGCTTTGGTAAATCATGTTGGTAACTTTCGCAGACTATTGAAGAAATGACCTAACTGGATGCTTTTCTTCTCTTCCTAACTATGGCTGTGTACTACAATTCAGTTTTTTCCTCTGGACAGTGTCGTTTTGTTTCTATTTTTTTTTTTTTTTTTGGTTTTGGTTTCTCTCCGGTACCGGGAACCGAACTCACGACCTTGTGCTTGCCAGGCAGGCGCTCGTTTTGTTTCTATCAGTTTATATCCTCCTGCGTTTTCGTTTGAAAGCTTTGGGATCTGAATTTACACATTATGCCATTTAAAAAATGTTTAAGGAGACTGACGGTATAAATCAGTGGAAAAGCCTTTGCCTGGCATGTACAGGATCCTGGGTTCTATCCCCAGCACAACATGCATACGTGCATGAACAAATGACTATCTATCATGGAGGAAGATAGTCTGAGACTGCGCACGTATTTCCTCACACTGTTGCCCACTAATTTTCACTTCCATTGGTGAATCTTGCCTGCAGTAGTTACTGTTCTGTTTTAGTAGTAATTTTGTTTCCCTTGTTCTTTCTTAATTGTTAATAGAAATTTTCTATAAAGAACAGACTTCTCACTAATATTGTGGAGTAGGATGTTTATTTTATCCTGTGACTGTTGGTTTATTTTTGTTTTGCTTTAATTGGTCATGCTATGGCCTTTAAGTTTGCACCTTTGGACAGGCCCCTTTTATAAGCAGTTCTCTCTGTCTCTCTCTTTGTGTTTTTGAGACAGGGTTTCACTATGCAATTCAAGCTGGCCTTGAACTCACTTTGTAGCCCAGGCTGGCCTCGAACTCGGAGTGATCCTCCTGCCCTAGCCCCCCAGTGCTAGGATTACAGGTGTGTGCCACCACACACAGTTTATAAGCATTTCTTTACTGTTGATGCAGCAAGGTATTTCAGACTTACACTTTTTTTGTCCCAACTCTGAAATCCTCTTCCCCAGGAGCCCAGTTCCTTTTATTGGCGAATAGTATTTGGAAACCAACATCTGGGTGTTGTGTGTGCTCTTTAGTATCTAATGTCATTATTTCAAGGCCTCCTCCAAAGATAGAACTAGGAAATACATGTATTTATACCCATGTGGATGTGTATGTCTGTATTTCTGTATCACATGCATACATGTGTATTAAAAGCCCTAAGTCCTCTGTTTCCAGACTAACACTGCAGGGTTCATTTTAGCCTTTGCTCCTTAGTATATAACTTCTGTTCTAACAGTGACAGTCCTGGTTCTCATTGTCTCTATTTACTTACAAAGAAATAAATAAGGTCTAGTTTTAGAATTGCTAACTTCTACCTTTTGAGAAACCATTTACTAACAAGGCTTGTGGCATTTGTATTCAGTTCTCTGCCCTCCATTTTATAGCACCCACTCAAGGTGATGCTCTCCAGTTTTTTAGGCTGTTTCTCTCTCTATCTCTTCACTGTGGTTGGGGTGAATCATTTGCAGGACAGTTGGGTTTACTTGTAAGTAACTATATTCCACATCAGGCTCGACACAGACATCTCCTTGGTTGTGGAATATGTGAAGGGTATGTGGGGCACCACTGTTGCCCTAAGAATCACATGCAGAAGCTCTGCTGGGGATGCCCCAGCCTCCTCAGCCCTGCATTGCCCTCCCCTGTAGGCAATCTGTCTCTTTACTTTTTGGTTTATTCTTTATCTGTTGTTTTGTGCCATTTTAAACTCATCAGGTTTATATTAAAGATTGTCTACCTTGGAAGAAGGGGCATATTCACTCCACCTTGTCTTCATTGGCTGCTCCTTACCTGAGGGAAGGAGGGCAACAGTGCTGCAAGGTGGGACTCAGGATGGAACTAGAAGTTCTGTATGTTTTAATACCTTTATATTTTTATGCTTTTAGCTACTTGGATATAACTTGGTAGCATTTAAAGTTTAATTTTATTTAATTTAAAGTTTGATTTTATTTAACATCTGCTAATAAAGCAGAAAAGGGATAGAAAAGAATGTACATTTCTCTACACTATTTTTATCTAGCCTTTAATACTACATATGCGATAATCACACAATTATGACAGTTTTCTGAACTGTGTAAAAAAGAAAATTTAGCATATAAGAATAAAGTTCTTTTTTATCTCTGTCCCCCAACATCAAGCCAGTTTTATTATCCTTTCAGGTTTTAAAAATATTTATGTATTTTCAGTTTTTCAAGAGGGGTCTCATTATATAGTGAGCTTGGCTTTGAACTCGTGGCAATTTTCCTGCCTCAGACTCCTGAGTGCTGGCATTATAAGCATGTGCCACACCTGGCTTTACTTTTTTGAGACAGGGTCTTGCTTTGCAGCCCAAGCTGACCTCAAACTTCTGATCCTCCTGAGTGCTGGGTTTGTAGGCATGGGCTACCACATCCAGCCAGATTTTTTTTGTTTTTGAGATAGGGTCTCAATATTCCAACCAGATTGATTTCAAATTCCAGTGCTCAAGTGATTCTCCTGCTTCTGACTCCTAAGTATCTGGGATTATAGGCATATGTCACTGTGTGCTCCTTTAAGATTCTTTATGTGTTTCTAAACATATGTGCCTATTGGGAAAAAATACTTTTATAAGTCCGAGGGGTTTTTTTCTTTCTTTCTTTTTTCAGAATAAAAGGTATGCTTTATCTTCTTTACTTGCTTTCTTCTTATATGTCTTGATGGCCTGTCATGCTGTACATATAGCCCTGCTTCATCGTTGATCTGCAGAGTATCTGTTGGCACATGACTCCAAATGCACAGATGTGGGATTGTTGGCTGTGTCCCTGCTTTACTGCATCCAGACCACAAACTGCTCTCCCGAGTAGTTAATGTCTTTTACCTTTTATGCCTGCACTGTGTCAGAGTACTTACTGGTCCATTGGTCAACCATACTTGATGTCTTCTATTTTAGGCAGTTTGAAAGTTAAAAGTGGTATTTTGTTTTTATTTGCTTTCCTTTGAGATAGGGAGGTTGAATTTATTTCCATGTAATTATTAGCCATGTACATTTCCTTTTCTGTAGTTTGCCCATTTTAACTATTTTCTTTTTCCTAATTGCTTGGGTT